TTTTTTTAATAGATTCGATAGATAGGGTTTCGAAAAATCACAGAATAAAAAAGCAGGTCTACCGAATAATTGATTGTGGGAGCAATTAATTGCAATTTTTTGAACTCCATTAATTGATTGGTGGTGCAGTAGCAATGAGTCAATTAATTGCAATAAGAGTTCACTGATACGATTTATTAGTGAATTCTTATTTATCACATAATGATTCATGCAACCATGTGACAAATGGAAGTTAATTGCAATTATTTCGTCATTAATTAATTTTATAATAATTTTAATTGTATGACATATAACAAAAATCAATTTTAATTAATTATTCAGTAAGCTAATAAAAAGTACTTTAAACAGTATAAAAAAAAAACCAAAAAAATTTATTAAATTGGTTAGATCATCAATAAATATCAGTTTGTTCACCCTGCTAAAAAATTTGATTATTCTGGAGTGTAGAATAGAAAAAAAAAGAAAAAAGGTGAAAATATGAGAATTTAGTGTTTAAATCGACTTTAGAACACTAATTAAAAATGCCGGAAGTAAAATTTTACATACAAAAACAGGTAACTATTTCTATAATTTCTAAATCTATCACATTTATATGTACTTAGTTAAATTTCCTTTATAGATTTGTATTACCTGCACATGCCAAAAAAAGAGCACATTTGCTCCAAATAAAGGCATTGTTAATATGATATTATTTATACGATTCAGATATTTATTCTTAATAAAAGTTTCCTTATGTTCTCTACAACGTTAGCTACTCTCATTAATTTGCTAATTCCTTAATCTGATATTCTACTAAATTCCAAGTAGCATATTCTTCGTCTATGGTAATAATTCTTGGTTCTTGATAATAGTAGTTTGTACTGTTATGCTGCCCGATCGTTACCCTAATTATCGACATTGTTGAGAATCATTGATATAGTACGTGATTTTGACTACCCAGACGGATTGTGGATAGTATTGTTGGTTAACCGTCCTGAAAATAAGCATCGTCCCTCTACACTACTTTTTTAAATCTCCGATTAGCGGAAATAACAACACTAATAGTTCTAAGATTACCTAAACACTCTTTTAAATAATGATGATCACAATAAAGGTATTAATAGACGTTCTATTAGTAAGTTCAAAAAATTAATAATTATAATCATTTTTTTGCTATTACAAATCAAAATTAATGGTCAATACGAGTCGAAGAGCTATAGCTCAACAACTAAGACACGCATGTAAACGAAAGTTGCAAACATGCACAAGTGAGCCAAATAGAAGAGCTATTGCTCAGCAAGAAAGAAGAGAACACGAAAGAGTCGGGAATACAGTAAATCAAAGGGCAGTTTCTCAGCAGGAAAGAAGAAGGCGCAAAAGAATAGAAAATACAATAGATCGTAGGTCTATTGCACAACAATCAAGAAGAGAACTTGAGCAAGCGAAAAGAGCACGTACTATACCAGACAATGAAATATTTGCACAATTTCAACTGCAAAATATACAACATAGTCTCAGTCATATAGATACAGTGTGTATTCATTGCAGTGCACTCCATTGGTTAGATGAGCGTATTGTAAACTCTTCAAAAACTAACCCAAAATTTGGGTCATATTGCAGGCATGGAAAAGTTATTCTTCCTCTTCTCCATAATCTACCTCTTCTTTTGTGGCAGCTTTTTGAAGGTCAAGATGAGCAATGTAAGGAATTTCATGCAAACATACGCCAATACAATGCAGCACATGCATTTACTTCGCTAAAAGTAAATATTGATCAAACTATTCTTAATGGGCATTCTCCGTATAGCTTTCGTATTCATGGTGAACTGCGCCACCATTCAGGTTCACTCCTTCCAGAGTCTAGCTTGAATGCAAATTATGCGCAACTTTATATTTATGATCCAGATATTGCACATCAAATAAGGATGGAATGAAACAAGAATTTACATACTCAAACAATGTGGGAATTACAAGAAATTCTTCAGGAACATCATGTGTTTTATCCTATATATCAACAAGCTCATGAAATTCTTTCTCAAGTATGTGAAGAAGGTGTATCCGAAACTGACTTAGCTGTTCATCTTCATTTCAATGTAGCAACAGATCGACATCGCTATAATCTTCCCACATCAAATGAAATAGCTGTTATTTTACCTGGTGATGGATCAGAGCCAAAGGCAATGCGTGACATTGTAATTCGATTACATGGAGGACCACTAGAACGTATTCACGAAGCTCATCCAGCATATTTACCACTTCATTATGTGCTTTTTTTTCTATATGGAGAGCTTGGTTGGCATGTGGAATTGCATCACACTTTAATAGATGAATACAGACAATATATTGAAGATCAGAGTAAAGCCTCATGCCTAACGCAGATGGATTTTTACTCATTTTGTCTTTTTTCACGTCATACAGAGTTCTTGACGATTCTTCGAGGTGGGAAGTTATTGCAAGAATTTATGGTAGATGCATGGGCGACAACTGAGCAAAATAGACTGAGGTACTTACGTATGAACCAGGATGTACTACAAGCAGATGTATATCAGGGCCTCGCAGATGCATTAGGAACTATTGTAAATGAGGAGATAAATTTGAATAATCTTGGGCGGCGTATAATCCTTTATTCAACACATATCGGAAGTGCACGTCATATGTTTGAGATTTTTCAAGATTCTATAGCTATAACCTGATTTTATCACCATCCAGATATTTTTGGAATGATGACAGCAAATCCAAATTGGCCAAAAATCATTAATAAATTGCTACCCAGTCAGACTTTGGTTAACAGACCCGACCTGGTAGCACGTGTATTCGAGCTCAAACATCATGCTCTTCTTTATGACATTAAGAGCAACAATATTTTTGGGAAAGTGGCAGCTTATGTATATACAATAGAATTTCAAAAACGTGACCTTCCTCATATGCACTTTTTAATCTTTCTTCATAGAAACGACAAAATAAAAGAATCTGCTGATGTTGATCATGTCATATGTGCAGAGTTTCCCGACCGAGAGACTGATCAAATGCTCTTTGACACCATATTACAATGTATGATTTATGGCCCTTGCGGTGCCTATAATTCTCAGGCTTCATGTATGGAAAATAAAAAATACCAAAAGAAGTATCCAAAAAACTTTCACGATACGACATCAATGGATGCTAACGGATATCCTCATTATGCAAGAAAAAATGATGGTCGTGTTTTTAATGTTGCTGGCAAAACTATTGATAATAGAGATGTAGTGCCATATAACCCAGCTCTCAGTCGAAAATATAACTGTCATGTAAATATCGAAGTCTGTGCTTCTGTACGGATATATAAAATCCACCTAAATATGTTAATTTTCATTTAAAATTAATATTGACTAACGACATTGTAAACATGATTTTTTTTTTATAATTTTTTCTTTCATTTATTCATTTGAACAATACCTATACCTATAGGCAGTCAAGTATATTCACAAATATATTTATAAGGGTCATGACCGAACCACAATGCAATTTGGACATGAGCCTGATGAAATTAAACAATATCTCGACGCAAGGTACATTGGTGCACCTGAGGCGGCATGGTGACTGTTTGGAATGCATTTACATGAAGAAGTACCAAGTGTTGTGAGATTGGCATTGCACCTTCTGGGAATGCATAGTGTTATCTTTAACCCAAATGATGATGCCATGAATATTCTTTCTCATGTGAATCATCAAAAAACAACTCTCACTGCATTCTTCGAAATCTGTGCTACTTTAAAAATTGCTCGACAATACACATATCAAGAATTTTCGCAACATTTTGTGTAAAATAAAAAGAGCAAAAAATGGACCATTCGAAAAAGAGGTTTTGCCATTGGTAGGTTGTACTTCGCAGACCCATCGACTGGAGAATGCTTCTATCTTCAGCTTTTACTCACCGTTGTTAGTAGCCCACAATCTTTTGAACATTTAAAGATAGTTAACAACGTTCAATATCCAACATTTAAAAGCGCATGTATAGCTCTTGGCCTATTAGAGAATGATGGAGAATGGGATCAATGTTTAAAAGAAGCCTCTGTTATGCGTAGCGGCTCACAACTAAGAGCACTTTTTGCAGTTATTCTTACCCAATGTACTCCTACTTATCCAGAGAAATTATGGTTAAACTTTCATACTAACATCTGCGATGACCTTTGTCATCAATTACGTCATGAACATGCTATCGAAGAGCCTACTGAGAATCAGATTTATGACTATGGATTCTTTCTTATTAACGAAATTCTTCGTGATTCAAATCACTCACTTGCTAGATGTCCTTCAATGCCACTTTGAGAGTGTAACTGGGATCTTTGTTGCAGAAATCGTCTTATTGCTAAACAATTAACATGGAACCATAAGGAACTTCGAAAGTTGGTAGACAACCACACTCAACAGCTAAATGATGAACAGTGTGCTGCATATCACAGTGTTCTCAACTCAATAACTAATAGACATGAAAATTTATTTTTTCTAAATAGACCTGCTGGATCTGGTAAAACATTTGTTTATAATACACTTGCAATGAAGGTTCGCAGTGAAGGCAAAATTGTAATCTGCGTAGCCTCCTCGGGTATTGCAGCCCTCTTACTTAGCGGTGGTCGTACAGCGCACTCGACATTTAAAATTCCTCTTGAGATTAATGAAAGTTCTTTTTGTTCAATTGATAAGAATTCTGATCATGCTGATCTAATCTGTCAAACAGAACTTATCATTTGGGATGAAATATCTATGCAACATCGTTACTGTGCTGAAGCTGTTGATCGCTCTTTATGTGATATTTGGGATAACCATTAACCATTTGAAAGAATCACTGTTGTATTTGGTAGAGATTTCTGTCAAATCTTGCCAGTTGTTATCAAGGGATCGAGAGAGCAAATAGTTGCTGCTTCTCTTCAACGATCTCTCTTATAGCAATATGTAAATATATATACTTTTAAAAAAAACATGCATTTGGGGATGGAATCAAATAAAAATAGATGCTTTTTTGATTGGCTTTTAGAAGTAAGCATACTTTAATGCTTTTAAGTTTTAATAAAAACAATATACATATACTAAATTTTTGACATGAACTCTTATTATATTTTATTTATTACTTTATCACTCGATTTTCATAGGTTGGAAATGGGATAACTACTTCTAAACTACATATGATTCCACTTCCTAAGCACATGAAAGTTGGTCCTGACATACGATCTCTTATTGACGTAATTTATTCCAATATACAACTAGGAATACTCAACGATGAATATCTAAAAGATAGAATGATTTTATCTGCTCACAATGATGATGTTCATGATATTAATTGTGCTGTTCTTGACATGTTTCCCGAAGAAAAACATACATATTTAAGTGCTGATAGTGCTATTATAGAAGATGGGGCTGACAACAACAACATATATCTCATTAAGTATTTAAACACTCTTAACCCATCTGGAATGCCACCTTCTAAACTTGCCTTAAAATCAGATGTTCTATTATCCTTTTTTGCAACCTTGCTCCTTATCAGGGTCTTTGCAATGATTCTCGCTTAGTTGTAAGTCATCTTACAGATCATGTCATTGAAGCATGTAATCTTAGTGGAAACTATGCTAAAAAATTAGTTTTTATTCCTCACATTACTTTAACACCTTCAACAGCAAATCTACTATTTGTTTTTAAATGAAGACAGTTTCCAATTCGCATTGCATTTGCTATTACTATAAATAAGTTTCAGGGCCAATCACTAAAGCATGTTGGCCTGGATCTTCAAACTGCTGTTTTTACGCATGGCCAACTTTACGTAGCTCTTTCCCATTGTACTTCTTCCCATTCAATCAAAATTCTTTTTCCACCAGATATTGAAGACTGTACTACCTTAAATATCGTTTATTCTGAAGTGCTGTTACCATATTAACTTTATTATAATAGGCAATATATTAGATAATTTTATGTTTTTACTAAAACTTTACAATCATGAAAAGTGATTACTATGGCGTCTGACTTTTATAGTCACGAAATATTGATTACATTTCACGATATCGTGATGATTTTTTTTTTTTTTTGAATTCCCACTGTCTGGTCGCTAGTGGGCCACAGTTGGTGGCTATTTTATTAGTTCAATTTTTAAGTTCACAGGACCTTCTATTAGGACCCCATCTACATTTTACATTTTTATTTATACATTTTACAGTACTATCTATATACTAATTATTTGTGTTCCTATTACCCCGGAATTTCACCGGGACTATTCCTAATCAGGGATTCTTTTGTTCTATTATTATCCTCAGCCTTCTAATTATTATGGCCTTCTTATGTTAGGTCCATCACCATTTAAGGATCTGGGTACCGAAGATCTTCCTATTTTCATAGAGCATCACCTGCTGTGGTTAATCAACAATCATAG